GTCGGCTGGGCGTCCTTGGGGTGAGCCGCGCCGTCTGGTTGTAGTGTTGACCGCGGTAGCCCCCCTACCTCATCCGGGTTCTGACCTCGGAGGGGATCGGACGTCGGGTGTAAGAGTGCAGGGGAGTCGTTTAGTGGGTGGGCTCTAAAATCCTTGGGCCCGCGGTCTGCTCACAACACCATGCAGATCGTTGAGTCTCACATACCCCGCGCGTCCCTTTTGCGCGGGGACCTCGTAGGAGGTTCGGCCCTCTACCCGAAAAAAAAAAAAAAAAGGATGATGGTATTGTTCTGTGGGTTTTTTTTTTCTACCTAAGCTGGTAGCCTAGAGACAGCGGAACCTTAACTAGTAGGTGAGCTGACGGGGCTCAAACTTGACGAAGTTGCTAACCCGAACCTTAGCAAGAGCAGTGCTTCGCAGAATCTACCACCGGATCGGAAACGCGACCCACTGAGAAGATCCGGCGAGAAACTCAGTGGGCTGTGTCTGAGTGTTAATTTGGTCGTCGAACCGGTCGCAAGCCACGGGTTCGACGAGAATGGTGACCAGTGCTTGAAGTACCTAGAAACACCGTTAGTGGATCGGGAGGATCCGAAATGACGTGTTTTGGGCGACGTCGACTGCTTTCCATTCTTTCCGCAGGATCGGGAATGTAGTTACCGGCGGTCACGATGAGTGGGTTCTCGTGTCGTGCCGCTTTATCGAAGTGGTGCATCGACGCCGACTGCATATACTTACTGGTGGACTCTAAGTCCAGGTCGTCATGGAGGTCGACGTTCCTGACGAACCACGGGGCTCTGACGGCTATCCTGCAAAAACGGGATTGAATGATTTGGAATGTCTTTAAGTGAGTGCGGGCCGCGTGAGCGAACACTACACTTGCATAGGTCATGACGGGGCGTATGCAAGTTTTGTAGAGTGTCACCTTATTTCTAAGGGACATTTTACTTCGCCTGCATATGATCGGGTAGAGACATCCTAGAATGAAGTCTGCACGGTCGCGTACCGTCTTTATAAGGGGGGCGGAATGTCATCCTTCTGTCGAGGGTGACGCCTAAATATTTGACCTTCGGGGCCCACGGTATGGGCTGGTCGTACATCGTGATTGGGCGAATGGTGGAGGCGGAGGTGTTGACGCGCCTAGTCGGGAGAGGGATGCTCAACGTGGTGTTCGGAGGACGACCCCTTTTGAAGAGCACCGCTGTGCTTTTCGTGGGGTTGATGTCGATGCGCCACTTCCGGAACCACTGTCCCATGGTGGTAGCTGCGGTCTGAAGTCGCCGATGAAGCAACGCCTTCTTCCTACACGAGTAGTAGATGGCCGTGTCATCGGTGAAGAGCGCCAGATGGGTCTCCGGAGACCGGGGTATATCATTGATATACAAACTGAACAGTAACGGGGAGAGGGCGAAGCCTTGCGGGACTCCGGCTGTGACGTGACGGGGGCGGGAACGCGTTCCCTCGACTCGATATCGGAACGAACGGTTCGATAAGTAGTCTCGTATGATGAGCACGAGTGTGTCTGGCACTCCCATGTTATACAGTTTGTATATCAAACCGTTGTGCCAGACTTTGTCGAATGCATTCTCTATATCGAAGAAGAGGGCTCCTGTCGGGATGGGTTTCCGCCTATTCAGCCCTAGTAAGATGTGCTCCGTGAGGTGGTGCACTTGATGGACGCACGAGTGTCTGGCGCGGAACCCAAACTGCTCGTCTATAAGAATTTTATTCGCGGTAACGAAGTCCCAGAGGCGTTTATGAAGGAGCCGTTCGTATAGTTTGCCTATCGCCGGGAGGAGACTGATGGGGCGGTAACTCGCGGTTTTGTTTTTCGGTTTGCCCGGCTTGTGTATGCCGATAACGTCAGCTTCTTTCCACGCCGCGGGAAAGATGCAGTTCGTCATAGCAGCATTTAAGATGGTGGCCAACATCGTTATCAGTTGGGCTGGTAACATTTTTAGCGCGCGGTTGCGGATGCCGTCGGAGCCGGGTGCCTTCCTAGGTTGGAGGTTGTGGATCGCGTCTCTAACTTCGTCAGTGGTAATGGGGGGTAACGCGTCCGAGTGCAGCAGGGAAGCTCTGCGCTCGACCTCCCTGTCGACTAACTCAGTGTGTTCGGGGTCCGCGTATTGAGTGCTGGTGGTGCACTGCTCATACAGTGCATCGGCCAGCAACTCTGCCTTGTCATCGTCATCGTAAGCCGGTGGTTGGCCTGAGGGGCGTACTAGAGGCGGCATAGTGACGACAGTTTCGGACTTGAGGGTCCTAGCTAGTCGCCAGTATGCTTGGTGAGTGGGCGCGAGTTCTACTAAGTGACTATCCCAATTTTCATTTCGGGCGTCGCTTAGGCGGGATTTAACCTCCCGCTGTAGACGACGCATCCGAGTCCGGTTTGAATCCGTGGGATATCGATCGTAGGCCCGGATTGCCGCGTTCCTGAGGAGATCCCTAAGCTCGGGGGAAAGTCTGATGCGGTGGAAGCAGTCCTCCACATCGACTTGTTTTGAAGACCTTATGATCGCGGTCGAGACGTGATCAGTGAAGATGTTTATGGATTCGACTGTGTCCTCGGGGGATGGAGTTGAATCCGGGCCGCAGGGGAGGATCGGTGGAGCGGCATCAGCTAAGCACGTGGTCCTGTGGGGACATTCAACATGTCAATCAAATGCAAATGCTGGTTGGCGATCATAGTAAGCAGGTATAGCATCCAGAGAATGCTGTTCCGTATTTTTCGGTGAATCACTTATTCGCTTTTTACGACATTTATAAAAATATATGGGTGGTGCTACTATCATTCAATACCCTTTTGAAACCAAGCTTCGTCTATAAAAGCTGTTTATTTTTGTATAACAGCTATGGAAGACGTACGGCCCTCATCATGACCGCAGTGGCAGCGGGAGTAGCAGGAGTCGCCAGAGCATTCTCCAACTCATACGTCCTCTACGTAGTGCTTGAGTTCGTGGAGGCCACTGTTGGAGCCGGAGCTTATAGTACTGGGTTCATTCTTGGTAAGAATGTCAGAATCTTCAAACAGACGTAAATTTATCGAACGTGTTATGTTACTTAAAATACCAGTAAATAATCCTGAAGAGTTACATCTAAATAGTTTTCAAAATACGCAGATTCCAGCGCTTTCGAGTAACCATAGTTGTGTGCCCAGTTTCCAATAAGAACTATATGTATACTGTAGTTCTGGTTTGAAGGATAAAATTGAAGGGTACTCTGCTTTATTTTATTAGTAATATTAAAATAAACTGAATAGTTTCAAGAGGAACCTATTTAGCGTTCAGGAAAAGTGAAAAACCTAGACACACTAGTCAATGAGGGTGCTTTTTTATTTTGGTACAGCTGGCCCACACTCAACCCTAATTTTATCTACCCAGAATTTAATTTAACTAGAAAAGCTTAGGACCGCCAATTATAATTTACTGTGGTCTTTTGCAATTTCAGCTCTGGAAATGGTGGGAGTAAACCGTAGAGTTCTCGGTGGGAATATCATATCAAGCACTTTCGCACTAGGACAAGTGGTGGTGGCCCTTACAGCGTGGGCGTTCCCGTACTGGCGTACTTTGACCTTGATTATCTACGCTCCATCAATACTATTCATCCTATACATCTTTGTCATAGAAGAGAGTGTCAGATGGCTGATAAGTAAAGGAAGGAAGAAGGAAGCTGCCAAAATCATTTTCAAAGCCGCAGCAATTAACAATAAGAAGTTGTCGCCAGAAACTATCAAAATACTTAATGATGAAAGCGTTGTAGAGGAGGAAACTAAATCCCCAGTTAAAGAACTACCGAAAAAATCCCTAGCAGTGCAGGTTTTGAGGTCTAAAACTATAATGACCCGGCTTTGTGTTTGTTGTTTTTGGTGGATAACGCTTACCTTCGTATACTACGGGCTGTCGATCAACTCCGTGTCTTTGGCTGGGAACAGCTACGTCAATTACATTTTGACTTCACTAGTGGAGATCCCCGGATACTGTCTCAGTGTGCTGACGATGGACAGGTTCGGGAGGAAAGCCTCGATCATGACTGCCTTTATTGTGTGTGGCCTGTCGCTCGTCGGATTGCCGTTTGTACCCGAGAGTGAGTGTGCACAGTAATCCTTTTTGTGCTCTGTGTTTGGGTCTTACTATATATGCATTTAAACGTGCGTACATATATACATAACTGTGCATATTAGTGTATGGTTCCCACAGTATATATTACAGCTCAGGGGATCCTAGTTTGGGATGAAATAGCCTGTGTGATTTGAATCCTATTTATTTATTTAGTAAACTTCAGCTCCGGTACGGGTTTTGTTTAGTATATTCTAGTCTAGAGTATTTCAAAATACAAGTTTTTTTCCAGTCTGTATTCTTAACTGCTAGTTTTAGTCTATCATCTTGATTGAGCACTCGAACTAATCACCGATTAGTTAAACCGTTTCTAAGGTACTTTTATTTATAAACAAGGTCTTTGCAAAAAAAAAGAAAAAATATTTAGAATACAAAAAACCCTGAGTAATATTGATAATGATGCCTTTGACTGTTTACAGACATCATTTGGCTCCAAACGACGCTCAACATGATCGGAAAGTTGTGCATCAGTATGGCGTTCAGCAGTATATATATATACACATCAGAGCTGTTCCCCACTGAAGCGAGACACACTCTCCTCGGCGCCTGCTCCATGATTGGACGGATAGGGTCCTTAGTTGCGCCGCAGACTCCTTTACTGGTTAGTGCTTGATTCAACCTAATTTTATTTTAGAATTGTTAGCCATTAATAAGACTGCGATAATTACTGGTGGTAGGACTTCTTGTGAGTCCGCATGGGTAGGTACCACCGCCCTGCCTATTTCTGCCGTGAAGCAGCAATGCGTTTCGGTTCGAAGGGCGGGTTAGCCGTTGTAATTATACTTGAGATCTTAGAGCTTATATCTCAAGGTGGGCGGCGCATTTACGTTGTAGATGTCTATGGGCTCCAGTAACCACTTAACGCTAGGTGGGCTGTGAGCTCGTCCAACCATCTAAGCAATAAAAATAAAAAAATCACATGATGATGGTAGTCTATTTTCCTTTAGTTACTTTGCGTATTTCCGCAAGTTAGACGTTACTTCATGTGCTGTGTTACCTGTTGACAAGGTCTTAAAGCTTTGCATGTCATTGTAGATGGGCCACGCAACGATCTTAAAATATATTCATGTTAATGTGGCAAGTTATTAATATTGCATCAAGGTGATGCGTATATTTATAAGTTGTTGTCTCTAAATGTTCCTATGACCAGTTGACAATAAGTTTATTATGAGGTTATTTGCTTTCTTAGGTTAGTTTGTTTTTAGATTGACACAAATTTCCTGCCATTTTCTAAGTGCTATTCCGGAAGGCCATTTAATATATATAGATTATATCCATTTGTAGGTTGAACTGCGTGGTGGTTTATGGCTACCCTTCAATCGAAAACCCTTCTAAGAAAAATATCCTTATGATCATTCAGTCTTCGAAGTAGGAACTAATTTAAATAAATTTCAGATGACATACATGGAGTCTCTTCCGTACCTGATTTTCGGCATAATGGCGTGTACATCTGGTCTACTGATGCTTCTAACACCAGAAACCCTGAGGGTAAAGCTGCCAGACACCATAGAACAGGCAGAGAACATCAGCAAAAAGCCACAGAACGGAACTCTTAATGGTGTCGTAACCTCAACTTGAGTCTTCGAAACCTTAGAAATTCCGAGTTGGGGCGTGCCATTCTTCTAACCAAACTCGCAAGATCGCTCCGACAAATTTGCACTATTCGGTGTAACTTGCGGTCGTGATAGAAGAGAGCGATGAAGGCGGCCAACTAGACTCGGTGCGGTGCGCGCGGATGGCTTTAGCAGAATTGCACGCCTCATTTTATTAAAATAGATTTAAAGCTTTGTTAATTAGTATATTATATTTAACTTGTATTTAAGTATTGTTCTTATGTACCGATATGAAATGTCAGTTAGCCTGCCTGTTCGACAGATGAGTTTACCACAATAGTCCGCGCATCTTAGCTGTTGCTAAAGGCTTGGAGTATAAATGGGATGATCGTACTAGTATCTGATACGCATACGCATACTAATAGTACGCATAGTATTAGTTGTAATACAGTTACCCGGCAATGTATTAAATAAACAGTGGAAAAGCATTGAGCTCGTGACTTGCGCATCTGTGATAGTCAAATATTTAATTTTATCGTAATAAAATATTAATTTGTAAAACAAATTGCCCGTCTTAGCATTTCAAGTATCGATAGTATTCATATAATATTTTTAATTTTTATATCAGTAAACAATGTGCAGGAGTAATGTTTGTTTCACTTTAATAGCGGCCCAGCATCATTACATTTAGTAAAACTTAAAACTCGACCTGTGCATAATTGGTCGAGGTTGGAGAGAGCGTTATTGTAGCGAGTGTACATCATCTGTAAGACGCTGTCTGATCACAAAATGAACAAAATGTAGGATGGTTGATGACGTATACCCGCGTGACGTAGTGACAATAAGTGAACTGGAGAAGGTCAGTTAGAGAGTATTAACTAACGATAGGGACTGTACAGAATTACAAAATTTATCCTTGTTTCGGAAAACATCAATCAGTTACACATTATTTCCTTTTGAACATGTAGTCGTTTAAGAAGTAAAGCGCCTTCAATTATTATTAATTTAACTTTCAGAATAAACAAGATCAACACGTTTGCGCTGAAAAAAATAATCAAATATGATTTTCAAGTTGGCTGGCTGTCAACACTCTGGGAAACTCATTTTGATTCACGAATAAACAACGCAACGCCTTTGAATACACAGTAGAAAGCATCGTCACAGTTAGGCCAGATCACTTTGACGTGATGCTTAGAAAAATTACATATATTAGTGGTCGCCCACTAGTCAGAATTCGACCATAATTATTAATTTCAATTAGAAGTTTGAACACTATTATAGATTTATTGTAAAAAAAATTACTTCACTTCTATTATCATAGATTTCGCCAAGGCTACTACGACACTATAGACAAATAATATTAAAGACAAACAATATTGATCTATTCCCAATTTGATCAGACTTTAACAATAAACAAAAGAGTATATTTGCATGTGTGTGTCAAATACATGGTAGTGGGTGTAATGTATTCTTTATACATAAAAAAATGCATTCTGCACTCTTTTTCTGTATTCTCTATAAGAGTGGAAAATTTCATACTTCTCCATCTGCGCAATTTTCGTAAAAAGGGGACAAAATTTTTGTTTCACGTATTAATCTTTAGATGTATATACATACAACCCAACAATCGCAGAAAAAACTGGATCCGGTGATCTAAGGATAGGTACTATCAATTATCAAGGTCCTACATCTAAAGAGTAATTTTTATGTAAATATCTGTAATTTACAAAAGAGACAGACACAATCTCGTGACAGTTTTACGGTAGCGTACAAATAGAGATAAGATATTGTACTATGTAACAATCGTTGCAAATGTTATCAAATGGTAAATTAATGCGGATTAAACAAAAAAATATTTGTAAAATTCCCCGGTTTTATAGAAACGATCTGCTTGTTCTATTCTTTTAGTTCTACAGGATCTTTGAGGATGGACCCGATCGAACTGAAATTTTATACAATTGTTGCTGGTTCTTTATGCGGAGTTTACATTACGAAATTAGTGTCATGCATCTTGAACTCAGTTTCACGAAAGTAGTTTCCCTATATGCGAAAGTAATTTCGTAAAAAAATTAGTGTCGCGAAATCCACAGTATCGCAGTAACCGTGGAGCCATCAGCATCAAAGCTATATTTTGCTATAATCAATGGAGACTATCAAGAAAAAAAAAGATGTTGGTAGATTCGAGGATGATTAACAAGAAGGCATTTAGGTGCAATGAAGTTAGTCTCTGAATTAGCAGATGAAGATCCTGAGAGCTATAAAAATATTTTCGAATGAGTGAAGATAATTTTAATTTTTTACTATAGGTGTTTCAGGTCCCAGAGACACTCTTGTCGCTGATATTCATTAATGAATTGTATATTTTTATCTGTACTCCATCGTTGGTTTGCCATTTTCAACGCTTGAAGTGCGCGCGAGCTACAGATACACACGTCCGCACAGCGCAGGCGCTTTCGCGACATTAGCTTCAAGTCGCGTCTACACTATGAAATTAGTTGCATGACACTAATTTCACCAAAAAATCGCGCAGGGCACGAAACTAATTTGCATGCATGAAACTAATGCATGCATTACGAAAGTATTAAATTACACGTGAAACTGTTCGTAAAACTAATGTCACGAAACTAATTTCATGCCACTAATTTCGTAATGTAAATTCGCCTTTAGTGGTACTAACCCACTAACTGTGACACAATAGACACAACCCTACTAACTGTGTATATTTTATATACAGACGGGTTCGTCCTTGCGAGCTGTGTCGGTGTGCTCATAGTCCTGTCGCAGGTTTGCGCGGGACGGGTAGGTACCTTAATTATTCCGGTAAATACTCTGAATCTGTACACTCTAAAAGAAGAAATAATGTCAAAATTCCGACCGTCTCGCCGGAACTATCATCCGCACCATCTGGATGGTTGGCGTTCCACTACAATGCGTTTTAAAAACAGTTTTCTGCCACGCACAGTAAATCTCTGGAATTCGTTGCCATCAGCGGTCTTCCCCAACAACTGCGACATTGGGTTATTCAAGAAAAGAGCATATTCTTATCTGAAGGGTAGGCAACGCACTGGCGNCGGAACTATCATCCGCACCATCTGGATGGTTGGCGTTCCACTACAATGCGTTTTAAAAACAGTTTTCTGCCACGCACAGTAAATCTCTGGAATTCGTTGCCATCAGCGGTCTTCCCCAACAACTGCGACATTGGGTTATTCAAGAAAAGAGCATATTCTTATCTGAAGGGTAGGCAACGCACTGGCGTAAACGCTGGTGACCGTGGGTGGCGGTAAATCACTTACCATCAGGTGACCCGTCTTGCTCGTTTGCCTTTTTAGTTGTTATAAACTCTTGAGCCATTTGGTACTCAGAGGCAACCAGAGCCCATTGACATCAGTCACGTGTCTACTTCCTACCGCCTCTTCTATTACCAATAGGCTCGTTTACGAGTGAGAAGAGATAGTTACTGTAAAATATTACGATAAGAGTAGGTACGCGGGCGTCTCATGCCCATGACGACCTTCAATATTTAGTTGCAAGTAAATGTGTATTCATGAACAGCTGGTACGACGAAGGAAAAACATTAAATTTATTTATTTAATACAAGGAGAACCAACAGCCAAATAACATAGTAAATAATATAACAAATAATAGAAACAAAAAAATTAAAAACAATCAGCAGGCGGGAAACAACATAAGGAAAGGAGGAAAACACCAGACTAATTTAAATGTACACTTATGTATAAATGTCACAAATTAATAAAAAGTCGGTTGTCCTACTCGTACACATCACCGGCACATGGCCCTGCACCCCTTGTCCCGTCATCGCCCGGAACACATCGGGCAGTAAGCTGACGTCTAAGTCCTGTGATAGAGGAATAAAATGGGTCAATATCTAAGAACCTGCCAAGTCTGATCAGGTCACCACCGACACGTAAAAATAATGAGTTTTGCCTATAATTGGTGGAAGCTCGTGGCAGAGAAATTAGATTTCGATGCCTTAAAGATATTCTCTGTGCATTGAAGTCAACTTTGGATAAGAGCTCCGGGCAATCCACCCAACCTTTAACGATCTTTAAATAATATATAATGTCGGCAACCTCACGCCGCAAGTAAAGAGGAAGTAGATGATGTTTTTACAAAGGTTATCATAATTATTAGAGTTATAGGCAATATTTAATTTAAAACAAAGGTACTTTATAAATTTACGCTGAATTCTTTCAATTCGTTCTGTATAGATATTATGTCGAGGATTCAAAACTTGTGAAACGTATTCTAAGTTACTGCGAACAAAAGTACAGTATACTAAAAACATTAAATTATAAACATTAAAACATTAATAAAAGTTGTAAAAGTGATACCTGCAATAGTTTATAAATTTGGGCATTATCCGGCGCGCGTGCAATTGTCTTGTTGATCTTCTGCTGAAGAGGACTTGCATTCAGGTTATACTTCGCGCTATCTAATAAAATGGTGAGACTAGGTGCTTAGCCGCGAAATCGTCTGCCGATCTTAAAATACTGCTACTGTATTGTAACGTGTTTGGAAATTTGGAACAATTTCACAACAGCCGTCTTCGTAAATATACCTACTAGTGAGACGGCTTTTTTATTTTCTGATTAGTACAACAATGTTTGATAAGTTAGTGTTATTGATTTCTTTCAGCTTTGTTCTGATTCATTCAACCCAACAAATATCTAATAGTTTTGAAAAATTTATATGCGCCGCATGTTAATGATTTTTCTATTAGTTAACATATTTTTGGGATCTTCCCCACTAATGCGGGAGGAATACCGCAGGTCTATGGACAGGCGTGTTACGTACCCTAGTTACATGCATTTCGCTAATTCGCGATTGCGCAATTAGCAACCAGTGGCGTACGTGACTACAAATTGTCGACGCAGCAACCTCATTCCATGTTCATGGAAAAGTACGCGACTGGCGTCAAGTGCTGACACTGCAGCGTCGCTATGCCGCCCGGGCCGGGGCCCGCTGGCGCCACTTCGGTACTGNAATTGTTTAAAGCCCCACCCTTCAAATCGGAATGTACTTATTGTACTTACCCATGCAGATTTACTAATAGATTTACTAATTAAATTTACCAGCACAATAAAAATCTTTAAAAAAAATCCCTTAGCACACCGTTTAAATATCAACTGTGACTGGCACGACAGAAATTAATTTATCAAACAATGCTCTAGCTCCAGTAACAAGCTCTCCGGCTAATGCTCGATGGTGGTATGGATACCAGTTCGGAAAGTTATGAACGGTAATGCCCGGGATGTTCTTTTCATTAACGAACTGTGAGTTAAGTGAAACATAGGAATCATATTTTAGGAAAAATTGTCAAATTGAAATCTGTGTGCTTAGTTTTTTTTTTATATTGCTTAGATGGATGGACGAGCTCACAGCCCACCTGGTGTTAAGTGGTTACTGGAGCCCATGGACATCTACAGCGTAAATGCGCCACACCCACCTTGAGATATAAGTTCTAAGATCTCAGTATAGTTACAACGGCTGCTACCCTTCAAACCGAGACGCATTACTGCTTCACGGCAGAAATAGGCAAGGCGGTGGTACCTACCCGCGCAGACTCACAAGAGGTCCTACCACCAGTGAGCTAGTGCGAGTTTCTTAACGTTCTCGATAGCGTA